GGCAAGCTAAGCAGCTCATATCTCAATAATCGCCATCAAATATACCGACACACTTCACTCGGCTCTCCTTGTGACCTCTGAGTGGCTCTTCCATACCGCAGTCTGGTAAACCCTCCCCCCCTTCCCCCTTGTCACTCACAATGCCCTACATATATCAAACCAAACATCAAGACCCTCTTAAATCCTCTGGGCACATAATAAAGATCCATCTGCCTGGGCCTCAATCTTAACACAAGCCATACATCCAAATGTGAGCAAAGTCAAAGGAGTCGATAAAAATCCTGCAGATGCTGCTTATCTTGCACTGCAGTATGTCCTCCTCCTGGATCAATGATGTAGTTGGTGGTTCAATTTTTCTTGCAAAAGCAGCTGCAGCATTATAAAATACAGGCAGAGCGTTGGTCTAGATCTGAACCAGAGCAGGGCTGAGAGCTTACAAATTATTTAAGGCAGACTGCAGAGGGTGCTTCTCTGAAAAACTGGTAGGATAAATATTGGTCCAGGTTAGCGAGCGCATAGAAACCTCCTTGCTAACCTCGCTTTCCCTCCCCTCCGTTATGAACAGTAAAAGAACCAGACATTTTGGCATGCAAACGGGCCGTGCACACTGTTCCCTCGATGAGGAAGTTATGCTTCTGTCTGCGCACAGTCGCAGCTGTATTCTCTTGAATCCACCAGGTCGGGTCTCGGCGGAATGTGGGGAGTGGGGGGGATTCCGGAACAGGTGTCGGCGGTGGCCCTAACCCGTCTGATCTGCCTAACAAGAGTCTTATGTGTCGCACATGAAGGGGCACCTATTAGGCCCGGCCTCTGGCAGAGGGCAGTCCACATGAGCATGAAAGGGGAATGGAGCTGGCATGCTCACAGAGACGGAACAAACCCGTCCCTTCAGCGGAGAACAGAACCGCAGAGGCGAAGAAGCCTCCGCAGCTTATTGGTATTCCCTCCAGCTGATCCTCATGGATACAGACTCACACAGAGAGATGGAGCGAGGACCAAAGACAGAGGGAAAGAGAGAGAGCAACAAGGGGCACATCTTTCATTTTAGTCCAAAAGCTGACCCAAAATCTCCTGCTCCCAACTGCGTCCCACAGCTGCCTGTGTAGTCCAAACTTTGAATTCTTTCATCAGCATGAAACCAAACAACGACCCTCATTCAAAGCAGAAAAGAGTAGGGAGAAAGAAAAAAAAAAAAAAAAGAAAAAGCAACAAGGTTTCCTGAATGAAAAATCCCGCAGATTTTTCTGGGAATTAATCGCTTTGGGGCACATTCACTATTATCTCATACAGACGAGCTGGTCCGGGACTGAATCAATAACCCATTAACATTACCAGTGTCTGCTTGCTGTGTATTGAGTGGGATCTAATTACAGTAAATATGCTGGTGCAGTCAGTGTAATGATTCAAAAACGGGACGAATAATGGAGCCGGTGATAGATCAAGGCTGGTGAGGACTTAAAGCGCCTAATTAACCATGAAAAATCGAACGGGCCCGCCTGTCCTGAGAAAGGTTTGGAGCATTGTTTCAGAAAAATGTTAGCGCGTGTCCTCTACCTGATGTTAGAAGAGGGGTTCATACGGGGTTAGGAACCACATCATGACCCATGGCGTGACCTCTGACCTACAAAACCTGGCCTGCTGAAGAACAGCTTTTTGAGGAAAAAAACCTTGACTGTCATAGGCAGCAAGCAGAATTTGAGGAAAAACACCGACCTGTTTCTGACCAGACACGGTGTTTTTAAATGTTGATATTTCCACAATGCCATCTGGTCGTTTAAAAAGACAGTTCCGATTTTGATTTTTATTTTGAAAGTGAAGCGGTAGTTTTTGTGGCGCATCTGTATCTTATTTTGAAGGGATGCGTGAACGTTACCATAGCGACCAGAGCCAGAGCGCGTTAGGGCAGTGGTCGAGACAGAGGAGCTCGCGAGTCTTAGGTCTGGTTCACGCGGCGCGATTTAAGGATTGTCGGCCGATTTTCCAAACCTCTGTGATCACACAGGAGGCGATGAAAGGTTCGGTCGGTTCCTGTGTCGTGTGTACACACCACAAGAACCGAAGAAAATCCAGTAAAACCCCCAACACAGAAGCCCTGACTGAACGAACGGCCCCCGGTCGTTACAACCCAGTTGTGTCAGTTAATGACAGCCGACACGTTACCGGCTTCCTCGACCGCGGTACCGGTTTCGCTCCAGTTTCCTCTCATCATCGTTTCTGTTGACGTTCCCTGCGTCCGAAATCCCGAGCAAACATTCACGCCGTTCCCCACACATCACCTCCAACGTTCGCCGGACTCTCCGTTGCGCCATGTCAGTCGTTTGGGATTTCCCCACCTTTACGTGATTACGTCACGGCGCTCTCTGACTCAACGGGCCGCGCTCTCGTAATGCGGCGACTCCCGTCCCCGACCTGTTTCTGACCAGACACGGTCAGGTGGCAGAATTATAAGCTAGCACGCCCCCATCGGTTGCAGCAAAGACAAATCTGCCTGTTTGCAAACACAATTGCAGACAAAAATAAATAAATAAAATAAAAAAAAAACACAAGAGCAGCACCATGTTTCAAAACTATATTTAGCTAGCTATGAGCAGCATCTCTGTTTGCAGCTAATATAAGCTTTGAGATGCTCTATAAAGAGCAGTATGCTAAAATATATAGCAATAATAATAATATTCATTACATTGCCACTAAATTCTGCAAGAGTCTGATGTATATTTTGTCTTCAGCAATTGAATCAAAATCAAACAAATAAGTGCCATAAAAAGCACTATGGAGCTGTATTAATTAATTTGTAATAGATGGCTAATATGCCATAATTGTTGGTTTTCTGCTGTTACAAAGGGTAGGGCCTCTTGCACCTAGTTCCAGCCACACCAACAACTTAATCTGGATTCATAATAAATGAAGATGCAGAGAGAGTTTTCCACAGCAGGTAAGATATTTACTGCTTAGAAGCTCTCGTCAGAAATCCTGAGCTATCATTTTAAGTGGGAAGGTCTCAAGCTGAAAATGAAAACGCTTCACGATTGAATCAGAGTTTTCCCCTTGTTTCGTAGCGAGGTTCCTTCCTTATTGTCATTTTTCAACCAAGCCCAGAAACACGGACTGGTGTGGCTCCTGACAGTGACTCAGCTCAGGTCTAAGGGTTGACTCAGCTCAGGTGGCGACTTCCTTGTTATTCAAGAGTCCCACATCCTCTCCTCTCTGCGTCCCGGTCACCTGGAAAACCTGCTTCTTGTCAAGCTTTAACTGATCAGAGCGAAAAAGGAGGAAACCTCTGAACTCATCAAACGTCACTGTCCGGAAATGTTTCTGTAGCTCGAAAACAGAGAAGCAACCATATGGGATTTTGTATATTCAAATTTGAGGTATCTTAAAAAAGATTGAGCTATTAGCTGTGCAGAATATTGCTTTTTTATTTTTTAAGAAAAGTGAAGTGGGGTAGAAAAGGCAGACTAACTGGAAACTTTATTTATTAATATATACTGGAAGTGTATATGTTTAAAGGAAGATTTCCCAGTTTGTGGGTAATTAGGGTGTTCAAAATATCAAAACACCAACTTATACCACATTTATTCACAAATTTGCCATTACAGTTTAATCACTTTGTAGCACTACCTATTCTATAAGATGATTGATTACATTATAAATAAAAGTTTCTGTGTTTTCTTCAAAAAAAGGAAATGGAAGTGAATTCTAACAAACGCTTCATAAGAGCCAGACATCAATTTGCACCAGGCTTGGGGATTCATAGTACCTACTTTGACAACCTGTGACTTGAAACAACTTCCTTTACACTAGTCATGTCCACTGTACTGACATTTGGTCAAATACGGTGCAAATAAATATTTTCTACAAGCAGAAGGTACTCTGAGTGGACCAGGACTCGTGTTCTGTCATGAGAGCCAAATGGGTTTACAGGGAGATCAGAACTGCAATCGATGAAATCAAAGTTTAGCATAAACCTTTTGGTACGTCACGTATAATTAAACTACTTTATCTAAAAAATAAAAAAAAAGACTTCATAAAGAATATCTGTCAATGAAAGTAAACTGATATGCTTGGTGTTTTGTATAATTAAAAAAAACACGGATGTTGTATATTTAATGAAATAAATGATGAAATTGGCAAAACAGTTATGCGACTGGTTCAAAAAGCTTTCTACGTTATTGGACAATAATTATGTTACTGTGTTCTTTACATAAAAAAATAAAAAAATATTTCAATATTAATTACTACCTGGTATAGTAACTTGGTGTGGGGGGCCTGGAGAATTCGTTTTTATTATTATTATTATTATTATTATTTTATCATCACGACTGGACACTTTGGAGATTTGTGGGTAAGGAGATCAGAGGCTAATTAAACAACAACCTGGGTCAGAACCGGACTCACCGAGTGACCACAAGAAGACAGAAACCTCCATGAATCCAGTGCAACACTTTGTCACTACATTACCCGGCTCTTTCAGTTTCTGCTGGGATGATTCAGTTTGTGATGCTGATGATGACTCAGGTTTGTTGGGTCGGCACAGACTGACCCACTGTTGTGTTGAACTAGAATGAGCCAAACAGCAGCCGCACTCATCATTTATTAAAAAGTGGGTAAAAAAAAAAAAAAAACTAATAGGAAAATCACCAGATGTAAACGCAATATGGGACTGGTGTGAGAGGCAGCTTTTTTCCCCCTGCGTTTGACAGAACTAATAACAACGCATGAGGAAACTAATGGACCTCATGAATCATTTGGACTGTCTCTCGTTTCGCTCGTGTTCCACCGCATCTTCTACATCCATCACATCCGCCCGAAACGCACAACACCCGGGTCACTCGAAGCCCTTTGTCTGGAGAAAGTGCGGCGCTTCGGAGCCGCTGCTGGCCTCGACGTAACGGAGAGCGCGAGCGGACAACAATGCGGCGCCGGTGCCGCGTGGGAAGAAGCTCGGTTCTGACTCACGGCCGCCCGGCCCGCAGAGAGAAACTCGCTCGGATATTACTCACCATCCGGCCGCCGCTGCTGAGGTATTTCTCCACTTCAGACAAACTTCGCACGGGCACGCTTACCCCGGGCATAATAGCCTCCCATATGGAGCCCGGAGAGGCGGTACCGGGGAGAGGGAGGAGGTGGAGGAGGGGGGGGCTTCAGTTCGGTACCGGGACCAGTTTCCAACTCTCACGGTCTGAGCTCCGACGACTCATGTTCAGCCCGTTCAGCGCCGCGTTGTTGTTTGCTCTGAGTGTGTCCTGTACTCTCGCGTACAAAACTGTGCGTGAAGGTAACTCCGCCCGCTCCTCTCCGCAGAGAGGAGGGGGAGGGAGGAAAAGGAGGGAGGAAGAGGAGGGAGGAGGAGGGGCTTAACCCTTTCGGCCTGTCCGCCTATCAGCGGTCGATTAGAAATCAGTCGAGCGAAAGGCGCAGCGCCTCGCGATGCTCCTCCTCCTCCCGCCGGAACTTCGCCGGGAACCAAATTTAGCATATTTTCACGGTGATGGAGCGAAGCGCTCCGTGACTGTGAACGTCAAGTTGTCAACACTTTGTTCAGACTTCACAGCAGGCCATATGTTACATCTTTACCCCAACCATTTCTGTGCATACATGTAGGGCGGCCTGTTCTTCCCTTGCAGTAACACAAGGCGGTATCCTGCCGGTATGTCACTCTCTGTAAATTTCTTTCCCCAAAGTTGTGGCACAGTTGGTCAGGGAACAGCTGAAAATGTTTTTAGATTTACTCTCACAGCACTGAAAGTGGGGAAGGATGTTTTAAGATGCCCGAGATGGCTGAAAAAAATATTGTGCAGCTTTTTTTCCCCTTCTTTCTTTCTTTCTTTCTTTCTTTCTTTCTTTCTTTCTTTCTTTCTTTCTTTCTTTCTGTTTCTCTTTCTTTGACTCACAAAAAAGGCATTGATACTGCTGATTATATCATCTCAGTGAATCAACTACAAGACTGTGAACTGATTCTCAAACTGCCTGGTGGAACACTGCGTCCAAACTTTGGGGTGTCTTTTCTTCCTCCTTTGTGCTTTCAGGGGAGTGCCTCAGGGCTCCTTACTAGGCCCATTGCACACAATTCTTGTGAACAATCTGTGCGACGACTTACCAAATCCTGCCAGACCACATGGCTGTTTATCGTCCGTCTTCTTTGGGTTTTCAGTCATTAAAACGTCCGCAACCTGCATTTGACTCTGCACGACTCTCACTAAGCGTAAGCAAATTTTGAAAGCAGAGAAATATCCAACTGTGATAGTGAAACCAAACTACTGACCAGGGGGAACCTGTTGGCAAGTGGTTGTGCACGCCATATATCTTGTATTTAATGGCAAAGTGACAAGAAGATAGACATGGTTGAAATGTTTACACCAAACTACTCCTAAAATCTACTTAGCTGTGCACTAGAACTATTTATTTCTTTTTGTTTTTGGACAAAAGAGTAGCTATAAGCACGTTTGTTTTGGAACACTAGCTGGGTGAGTATTTCCCATTCTGGTACATGGTATTCAGACATCTGCGACGTGTTTTTGAAGATATGACCTTATCAATAATGCTGGTAGTCAGACAGAAGTTGGTTTCCTTATCAGAAAAAAAACGAGAAGTACGAAAGCAGCAGCGTCGAGTAAAACCTGCGACTAAAGTTCGCCAACTAATCCAGTCGTGGGATATAATTTTAATATGAAGATTCAAAAGCATCTGGCAGCAGAAAATCAAGCCAGGAGGTTGTTCCCTCCTAATTATCAAGCGATAATTAGGGGCAGTTTAATTATTTTTTGTACGTGATCCCTGGGCTTGATGGGGGGATGTCTAAATATGAAGCACGAAGACTGAGCTGAGATAGCCACAGTGTCTGATTTGAATCTGCGAATGTTCGAAATGAGGAACAACGAACGCTGGAAAAAATGCTCAACATCTCAGCAGATATATATGCATGACAGGAAGTGTGCTTCAAAACCAGTTGGCCTTTCCAACTGGTTTTCACACTATACTTGATCGTTAGTGGATTTTGTTTGAGTTGTTTTGGTTTTGTTTTTTTGTCACACAAAACTCAAATCACTGAACAATGTTTTTACAGAGAAAACACAAAGGCCCGACAGTCTCACCATTTGGCAGAAACGATCTTGTTCTCTTCGCACAGAACAAGATGAAGTCTGCAGGAAGACGAACACGGTTTTTGGTGAAGAAGACGGACAACCAGTGACCATGTCACCACTGTGCTGCCGTTCATTTCTGTGATCCGAGCTGCTGTTTCGCAACACACCTCCCATTGCAAACAATTCCACTGGTCTTTCAACTCACATCCAACTTGGAATGAGCTTATCCATCCTGCACGACACACAAAGGCCAAGAATTGCATCACAAATCCCAGACCCCTTCAATGAGGGGCTTTGTCATTCTGTACTGTTGGGAGCGATTACGAAGCGGCCAGAACGTTTTCACAGGCGTGTCCACGCCGAGACAGCAGCTCTCGGGTTCACTTTCATCCCCGGCTGCCGTTTAAGGACATTTGTTATTTTCATTCTGATCCAATGTACAAGTGGAGCGCAATCATGTGAAAAGATCGGAAGCGGACTCAAAACACAATGTGCTCTGAATTATTCTGAAGTTTTTAGACGCGAAGATTTCAAACACATAGTGAAGGAGGGAAAAGCATCCATAGACAAGACTGGTTAGTATTAATTAATTCTATTTGCTTGCTCCAAAACATTGTGAGTGGGTGTGTAGTGACAAATCTGTCGTCGCCGGGTCTGCTCATTTTCTTGCTCCCAGCATGTCAGATGAACAAAAGAGATGCTGAGCAAAAGCAAAGTTTTTTTTTCCTTTTCAGTGGTTTGGAAATTAAGCTTTAGAAAATGTACAATATCTCAAGATATAAAAAGAGAACAGCCATTTATTACTTGATAAATCATATGCAATGGTTTGACTGGCTTTATGGATTTATTGTACTTTTTACAACCTTTTTTTGTTTTTATTTCGGCCACATAAACATAATTGGCTCAATGTGATCACCACGCAGCAGTTTTTACGTTATAATCGTGTTCTGAGTGTTTATACTGGTGATGTTCTGTGAATATGTGTCGACGCTGCTACGTTTGATGGACGGCAGATTAAGTGAAACAGGACCAGTTCCGGCGACCAGTCGCCCTTGAAGAACGGGTGGGAGAACCTGCTGACAGGGCACCAATTGGTTGTTCACTGCCACAGATCTGGTGTTTCAGAAGAGTAGCAAGAGGAAAGCCGTCGCTGAGAGAAAAGTCGCAGGAAGTAACCATTTACCAATTGGAAACACAGAAGCTCTTCATCCAGTCAGATGGAGCCACATGTTGTTTTCTGAACAGGAACGTGATGAAATGTCTGATCTCCGGATGCACGAAGTCGGCAAAAACGGAGCAGCTTTTTTTTGACTTCAGAATGAAAAAAGTTTAGCAAACGATCGCCCTGTGACACAAACGTGCAACCAGTATTTTTAAAGATAAAGACTTTAAATGGATGGTGCTCTATTAAATCTAGATATTTTTCATTTTAATAAAAAAAATGGGGAAGATTGAGAGCAATTAGAAGTCTTATAATAATCATTCACACATGTAACAACAGAGAGACCAGGGCCACGCTTTAAATAGCTACGCCCCTGCTCGGGAGAGAACAGCTGGTTGCAACAGCTTCATATCTCTCTGCAAGCGTGTTTACTTTACACGTTTCTCTCAAAGCTGGCCAGATTAAGGATTTGCATGGACCATTTTATAGGCAGCATTCATTATGTTCTCAATTCAGAATGTTTACGTGTGAATTCTTCCTTCGTGGCCCGTTTAAGGTGATCTGCTCATTTTAAGCACAGCATTTGTTCTTCTCAGAGTGACAGCGACGGGTGAGAAGTTTGATTGCACCACCGCCGTCCGTCCATTTTGGTTGTTTGACCTGTTTCTTTGCAGAAATTCCTGCTTGCAAACGCAAGAGTTAAGTGGAAGTATCTCAACTTTCAAAGGCCACTGAAATGTAAGCCTTTTTAAAGGCCAACTTTAACAACTGCCAAGTTCATGGAAACGAGAATTTAACCTTGATTGTGAAAGACCTAAAAAAAAAAAAAAAAAAAAAAAGACTGAAAGATGTTTTTATTCTCAAATGACACGACCATCTTTACCCATCAACATTTCCTTGTCCAAAATGACAGAATACACAAATTACCAAATGTTGACTGTATAGCTTTTTTTTTTTCGGTGCATTTTATATATAAATATATATACACAGTTACTTCAGATCCACATGATGCTAAGATGCTGCTAATCCGTCGGATTAGCAAACTAGTGAGCCATAAATAACCTTTGATGAGAAGAGCTCACAAATTTATTTCACATTTTCTTTTGTTGTGACCACTCTAACATAAAAAAAAGAAGCGTGGCCATGTCGGAGAAGTAATGAATACAAAAAAAAAAAAACAACAACAACAAACCATGCTGCGTCAATCAAAATACAAATGAGTTTTTCAGAAAAACAGAGGCGTAAAAGGTACAAAGCATAAAATACTATACAGTAAAAAGCTAAATCTGCTATGCAGGTTTTAAGGATTGTATTCTGAGTCTCTGCAGGTTGTTCCATTAGCGAGCTGAGCACAGCTGACAGCGTGTGGAGAAGAGAAGCTAACAGAGAAAACAGAAATGAAAACGGATAACGAGCCATAAATCTAGTCTGTTATACTCATTCAAAAACCGGTTTGATGAGTTCTCTAAATGCTTTGTTTGCCAACCTTTTGCAATCCAAATGTTTGCCCTTTTTTTCCCCCCTCTTTGTTAAATGGCACCATCCGTTTGTCAGACACCAGAGCCTGCTTGGCTGTTATAATCAGTGGATTCCATCTTGAGGATGTAAGGGATGATGCTGTCAATCTGCACGTTGCCGATGAGCCCGGCGAAAAACAGCTCCTCCGTGACAGCTGCGCTTATTAGCCTGAGGGCCGGAAGACGCAGCAACAGCTTGGATAACCTGGGAGTGATGAGGCAGAGAGGAGACATGAATCTAAAAAAACACACGAAGCAAGCACATCTGGGACAACGTCATCAATCTGTCCCTACTTTAAAACAGCACCGCTGCTCTTTCAGCACCGTTAGCTGCACGCAAGTACAAACCGGTAAGAGTCCTCGGGGTAGGTCCTCGTAACGTAGTCCTGCAGCTCCATGTACGCTTTTTCCTGGAACATCTCGATCTGCGGGATGTTATCTATGCCGGGGTGATCTAGCACAAAAACAACGCGTGCACGGAGTAAGAG